TAGGGGGATCCGACATGACTTTTTTCAGTTGGGGCAAGTTTTTTTTAGTAGGTACTCGGGATAACGAAGATGGACCAGGTCCAAGAGATCTATTCCCAACTCGCCCGACTTTGCAGTGAAGGCTTTGTGGTCAAACACGGCCATGGTTTGCCCCCAAGGCTTGCTTAATTTGCAGATTGAGTATAATTGAGTATGATTAAAACTTCAACAACTGTAAGCATGACAGAGTCCCGAGTCCCTGGAGATTTCCTCCTTGTGTCTATTGACTCGTGTCGCTTTACGGGTCGCTTCGCGACGAAGTCGCCGCCGCCCGCACCAGTGGCTCGAGGGTAAGAGGGTACGTAATAGAAGTCTCAATAGTCAGTCTATTTTTGGACCCTCTGATCATCTGATAAACTGCTTTTTGCTTCTACAATTTGCAAGCATTGTTGGATCCCTTGAAACTGTACCTGTTCAAGGGGGTCGACAAATCGAGTGATTATGACACTATACAATATACAGATGAACGCAGCATGAAACGGAAAAAACAGAAGTACCTATAACCACTCTACTTCGGGACCCTCGTGCAGATTGGTTGGTTATGTCTTAGTTGCAACTTGCAAACGTCGCTGGATATATTTTTGGACCCCCTTGAGATTGTACATGTTCCAGGGGACCCCAAATTGAAAACTTGAATGCATTTTGTACAATAAACTATACGGTTGCAACCAGCTGATGCGTATGACACCAACAATCTTTACAATTGCAACCAGCTGATGCATATGATGGAACCATAAGCATGTTTTAAGAAATAGACCGTTGAGAGGAGTCGCTTGTTTGCTTTCATGGCCCCGGTGATGCAAATGATACGATATTGAGAAATATGGTCAGGCAAAAATTACTTTACTTCGAGTGACCCCCACCATGACATTTCAATCATTTGTCTTGATGCCATAGTGAGGAGCATGTTGCCATGGTCGTGAGTATTGTAGTTATCGATTTTGCTTGTGGGTCCTCGGGTTGTGTGTTGTGTGTTTGTGGTTGTGTGTTTGTGATTGTGTTTGTGGTTGTGTGTTTGTGGTTTTGTGATTGTGTGTTTGTAGTTGTGGTTGTGGTTGTGTGTTTGTGGTTGTGTTTGTGGATGTGTTTGTGGCTGTGTGTTTGTGGTTGCGTTTTTGCGGTTGTGTGTTTGTGGTTGCGTGTTTGTGTGTTTGTAGTTGTGGTTGTGGTTGTGTCCTTGTGGTTGTGTCCTTGTGGTTGTGTTTGTGGATGTGTTTGTGGCTGTGTGTTTGTGGTTGCGTTCTTCGCGTTCTTGTGGTTGTGTGTTTGTGGTTGCGTGTTTGTGGTTGTGTGTTTGTGGTTGCGGGTTTGTGGTTGTGTTTGTGGTTGTGTTTTTTGTGGTTGTGTTTGTGGTTGTGGTTGTGTGTTTGGGCTTGTTTTTGTGGTTGTGTGTTTGTGGTTGTGTGTTTGGGCTTGTGTTTGTGGTTGTTGTGTTTGTGGTTGTGTGTTTGTTGTTGTGGTTGTGGTTGTGTATTTGTGGTTATGTGTTTGTGGTTGTGTGTTTGTGGTTTTGTGGTTGTGATTGCGTGTTTCTTGTTGCGTTTGTGGTTGCGTGTTTGTGGTTGTGTGTTTGTTGTTCTGTTTGTAATTGTGTGTTGAGGTTCGTGGTTTTATGTCCGGCGGGGAACACTGGGCGCGGATGGTCGTGGTTGGGGTCCGGCAGGGAACGCTGGGCGTGGATGGTCGTGGTTGAGGTCCCGCAGGGAACACTGGGCGTGGATGATTGTGGTTGAGGTCCGGCGGAGGAGGACGAGGAGGGGAGTGGGAGAAGGAGGAGGCGGAGGAGGAGGAAAAGGAGGAGGAGAAGGAGGAGGAGATGGGGCTGACATAAAATCTAACAACCCTCACCTGACAGGTGGGGAATGAATGTGAAAACCATATGTTTTTCAATGTCTTCTTCTCCCGCTCCCACGCCTCTCCTCTCCCACACACACGTCATGATGCAAGATATGCATTTTCGTTCCCAGCTAAAGCTGTCCATCGATGAACGCGAACCACCATTGTCATGGATTTTAGAGTCTTGCTGGGGTCGCCTGGAACATGTGCAGTTTCAAGGGTGTCGAAAATATATCCAATGATGCTTGCAAATTGCAAGTAAGACATAACAAAAAACAATTTGCAAGAGGGTTCCCCAAAAGGTGTGACTATAGATCTTAATTTTTTTGTTCATCCACTTCATGCTGCGTTCATCGCCAAGTGTTGTCCCGACCATGCACATCGTATATTGTATTGTACATAATCTTTTTTCCGGCCCCCTCGAACATGTACAATTTCAAGAGAGTCGAAATATGGATCCAACAATGCGTTCAAATGTTAAACAACTACAGTGATTATAGAAATTTGGTTTACCCGCTCTCTGTCGCAAAGTCGGCCCGAACAACAAAACAACAATGCGTGTTCATGACAACGCACCAATTCTCGAGCAACCTGATGGTGCCGTGCAAGTCACTAGTTCTTTGGTAAGTGGATTTGTTTTGACACATTTAGCATGACATTCAGACAGCAATGTCAAAATGGAAAGGAGACGTCCTGCATATTCTGGATATCGTCGACTTGAAAGCTTGATAAAGAGATCCTTTTGTGAAACTCATTTCTGGAGGCTTTTGGTACATCCCCCTTTTCCCCAAGAATCACAGGAACGATTCCCGCACGTCATGCAAAAATTGAATCAGAAATCCCCACCCCAGCACCTTGACCTCATTTCGTCTTCGGCTTTCTGAAACACCGACCACGATGCCCAGGCCGAGGTGCCGTCGCGAAGGACCCGGATTTGCTGGTGCCGTGGCCCCACGAAGTGATGGGCGAGGAGTTCGAGGAGTTCCCAGCCTGGCCGCATGAGATGTGATGGCCAGGAAGTCCGGTATCATGCAGATTGTAGACTCTAAGACTCTAAAATTAATAAATCCCCCTCCCACATGAAGAGTTTTGTAATCGTGGATGGGGTCATTGGTCAAGAGTAGTATATAGATATTACATATATACATAACATGGGCACGACGGAATATTGAACCATCGGAGTCCAGATCTATTCCTTCAGGGAAATTGGTGTTCATTTCGGACACGATCATCGCTAATCGGTGGTTGATCCCCAGTGGCTGGCCTGCAAGGAGGGCAGGAGATCTTTGGACAAAGGTGCATATTGGGTAAGAGGATGGAAGAGGTCTGCCACACCACCATGCTATCCTTGGAGCTCAGAATGAGAAAGGAATTGTATGAAGCTGAAGACGTATGAAGGTTGGTCAATCCTTAGAAATCATCTACTGTATATCACGAAAGGTAGCCTGGTAAGGACTAGCTTGAGTTTGCTTTGCGAAGCAAAAGGGTTAGCTTCAATAGCCTGCTCGGGACCAAATATTGATATATCAACTCTATTGACCCCCCCTCCAATGTGATGAATAATTTATTAATCAAATTATTTTGGTGAACCCCCCCTCGTTAGGTCCGTTCACTGGCAGCAACAGCAGAGTCTACAATGAGGTTGTGCAACACGGCTTCGACGCACTGCGTGCGTACAGCTCTTACACACGCCAGCGTTTTCACGCCGCAACATTTACGCAAGCCAATGTTCACGCACCATATTGCTCTATATACACAAACTAGCATTGACGCAACACAGCCTCTACGCAAAGCCGTGTTAACAAACCTCACCACACGCTCTAGCAACCTCTCCGTCGAGCGCATGACATACGACCGCACTTGCGCAGCACAGTTTGGCACCAGGCAATTCCTACACACCACGTCTCTCACATACACCAGTGTCGACAAGCCCGCACCACGCTACATGTTGTAGTAGCCCCCACGACAAAAGGCCCTCTTTCACATACCGCACTTCATACACCTCTCATATATTCCTGGTGCCTCTCTACTACTTTTCGTGTTTCCCTGTCTCAAGTATCCTTTTGGACCCCCTCATCCTAAACATCCACATCTCCAGCAGTCAAGACACGTTGACTACTGTAGACGCCCCAAAGCGGGCAAAGGAGAAAAGTTTTGAAAGAGGTGAACCCGCTTACGAATCTTATTGTAACATGAGCATGATCCAATGACACAGGATGACCCAGAAGCTTCTTTGTGGGTTGCCAGATGTGATGTGCTTTGTTTTCTGTTTTGTTCCAGGGAGTTGTAGACATCATGCTGTGCACTTTTGGAAAGTCAGTTTCAAATTCAAAGAAGTGGTGAGTTGCCAGATACCGGACTTACGGTTTGACACATCCATGTATTTTTGGTCACAGACATTCTGAGATGTTCTGTGCAATTCGGATCGTTGCATTAGGACTGCATGCCGAGCAACAAGGCTCGGGACATTCATTACTCAGCTTGAGCATCCGTGATCTAGTCATGCCAAAAGGAGCCGATCCAGAGTGTGATTATTCCTTGGCATACTGGTGTATGGATCAATTCAGGCCCATACTCCGATGCCAAAGACGCCCAGCCAACCTCGAATCCCACCACCCTCAGCATCCCACTGTCAGGTGATGGTGCCTTCCAATTGTTTCCAGAATTTGTTCATGGACCATCAGACCAGAAGCCATGGTGTTCACGGTGAAAACACCGCCAAAACGATAAGGTTTCCCCCGTAGATTGTTCCCCTTCCTCCAGTCCTTCAACCAACATCTGGGAGGTGTTGTATGATACGGAGATGGTCAGAACGACATCGGCGAACCGAGACCTGGGTCTTCGTGATTCCGAGACCAGTGGCTTGGGCGGGTCTTTGTGATTCCGGGAACCGGTCCAGTCTTGAAGAGTGGGCAATTCCCCTACTTTCGGCTTCAAGATTCTACCAGGGCCATGTAAATGGAGTGGTGAATGGACACCCCTGACACCTCTAAGGGGCTATGATGAACTTAGCGTGCCTTTCTCATTCTCATGGTTGCTCAAAGATTCAAAGGCTCAGTAGAGGTAATTATCCTCAAGACAGATCCGGATCCACAAACTTCTTGGTTCCGCTGCTTTCCACTTCAAAGCCGTTTTTGGGAGCAATGCTGCGCTTGGCAGCGGTGCTTCTATGGCTAAATGTAGGGCAAGCAGGCGCTGAGCTTTGCCTTGACGATGGTGTGCCAGGCAGCCAGCGAAAATACATTCAGGCAGGGTGTAAAGGATGCAACGTGATGTTGTTTGGGGGCTGGCCCCCCAAAGAAAGCCTTACGAAGGGGTGTCCAATCATAGCCCCTTAGAGACCACCCCTTAGGGTGCCCTGGCATAAAATACATATCAGCAAGCAAATGCAACACCTGAAATCGACCTCAGTGCTCATTGTCCTGATTGAAATACCCTTTTTAGTTCTAAACTAAACATGTGACGCAGCTATATACTGTAGTCAATATTCTCTTCCTGTGCTTAGGATGATTTGGGCAACGACATTCCAATTGGAGTGATTGAATGCGGCTGGGCATCTTCCACGTTTCTCAACGGACTGATAGTGATGATGATTCAAGAGATTCTTGGTTTTCATGCTGTAATCGATCCCCGCGTGGGCGCGAGTGGAGCTTCTCCCATCTATGCATTGGCCGGGTGCGCCGACTTTGACAATGCCAAGGAAAAGAACTGTGGCTCTGAAACAAAGATCCATGTGAGTGTGGACTCCTGGTCTGGAACTCACGCCGCAGCTCAGCAGACCTTTGCGAAGCAAAACCCAACTGTTGCAGCGGAGGATTTGGGAAGTATGGGGTATGCGGGCGAAGAGTCCATGTATGTGAGCCAGGAGATTCTCCATGCTGCCTACAGTGACGCTGGTCTTGCTTTGGACTTCTACAAAAGCTACTTGGGTCAGTCGAAAGGGAGTGAGTTGGGCCAGACATTGCTCTAAATACCTTTGAATTGAGCCGAAAACTGCTTGAGGTTGAATGAAACAAACCAACGAACTGCATGGTTGACCATTCCTGACCATTTGACCATTTATATAAACAAACAAACCAACCTCAAAACAAGTGAGAGATAGTGAGGGAGTATAGCCCCCCACCTCCTAAGATTGTAATTTTCGGCTGTTTGTTTTACAAGAAGAATGCCAATCCACTGTAAAATGTACGTAACATAAAACTATAAGGAGTTGATTAAATGATCAACCCTCATAATCCTGCGCATGGATAACCCCTGATATGGTGTGTCTCACCATAAAGACAACCAAGGAGTGTTGTGTTGCAGCACGCTGGTTATGCATAGAAATCGATGTTTGTACCAGGCACAAAACAACAAAACAATAACACACCGAGTCCAAAACACATTTCAGTAGACAACCAACACATGTACCAACTTTGCTTGTTTGGAATGAGTTGTGCCACGGCTTCATGTTTGCCATTTCCACACAGCACAAATGCCTGCAGTGCACACGAATGTACACTACACATGCTGCTGCTAGTTGAAGCACTGTACAACGATAGGGAAGAAAATATAACGGCAAGGCCAAAAGTGATAAGGAGACAGGCAGAGGGTTTTTTAGACAACCTCACAGGGTTTTGTTTACAGATTGACATCCATGCCAGGCACAATGTACAGGGAGGGTTGCCATTTTACGAAAAGCTCTGGTGGTTCATCACAAGGATGTAGGTGAGGGGCTTTGCCTGTACACCCTGTTGAAGATGGAATTCCAGATAGTATGTATATGTACTGTATATATATATATATTAATTCAGATACACACAGTATTATTATGTTTGCTGGTGAGCTGTTGCAGTGCCACCACTACACATCCCTGATTAGTTCATGAGCAGCTAATTGAGCCGGAGTAGCTGATCCGAAATTACTTGATGTTGTGAGTACTACCTCGAATATGCCGTGTGTAGGCGTTGCACACCGCGGAACATGTTTGCATGATGCTGTGTGTTTGAGTTTGGCCGATGCTTAAACAGAGGCTACAACACCACTCATCACGACCCGAAGAGACTGGGCTGCAGCGATGCTCATTTCGTACTTGTTGGTGCTAAGTCTCTTTTTGTTCGAAAGTCTATGATGAAATCCGCGCAGCGAGGAAATACTTCGATTCAATCCACGATGTAGATATCTCAGAATTGGCCTTGTGCAGCGAGACGGTCATGAGCCACCCGAATCGAATGGGAAACTATGCCCGCTTTTCGGGCGACTTGGACGGCGTGGAGCGCCAAGCAGACGGCACATTCATCGCCAAGTGTGCCAACCATCGTTGGTGGTACGCCCCTGCATGCCGTTCCAATGCCTCCACATGCATCCCTGTCTTCACAGGAGGGGATGGTTGGAAATTGCAGGCGATGATGCAGTGGTCGACGGCATATGGAATCCCAGCCGCCATCGCCATCTCTGCAGGATGGTCCCTGTTCGTAAAGCACGTTCAGCTTCATCGGGCTCTTCACTACTGGTGGGTTCCAGATGCAACCTTCATCGACATGTTGCCCGAGCAGCTGATCTTTGCTCGCCACAGTCCTAATGAGTGGCTTGAAGGAGACAAGAAAACGGGCGGCCAAGGAAGCTACGTGTCTAAGATGGTGAGCAAGAACTTGCAATGGAAAGCGGGCCGTGTCCGCGAGTTCCTTGGCAGGTCCAATTTGGCAGGTGTTTCTTTTTTGCACCCTCTTTAGACCTTTGTTTAAACACTGGCCAATGTGATCCTGAGAAAAAGAGCACATGTATATAAATAAAGAGCAAATACGTCATAAAAAAGAGCGCATGTATATAAAAAAATAACAAATACATATATATATATATATACACATTACATACTATTACATACTACATAGCAGTAATGATATATCATTGTATTCCATTTTGGCCATTTTGCTGTGAACGGGTCACTCATTTCGTCTTCACCGTGTCACTCTCACAGCCGCCTTTGGCATCTCCCAGCCTCGCACTTGGGGGGTTTGTCTGTTTGAGCTGCTTTGAGCTGCTTTCTTTTACGCAAAGATGGCCAAAGCATCTTTCAGTTGCTTTGACCAGAAGCCGAAGCCTCTTCTTGATGCCTTGGACCATTCATGTTCATGCATGTGCATGGCTACTAGAAATATGACAAACTCGATCTGGAGACCTTCTGAAGGTCTCTCAGCCCACCTGGAAGACCCGCTGGCCCACCTGGCCGGTCGGCCGGTGGACTGGGGTTTGGACGAAGAGGTCGCTGCTCGTGAAACGACGCATCGAGGTTTGTCTCCAGCATCAACTTTGAGCTACCGGAAGTGCAAAGCCTTCTCTTGGAGGTTCAGCAGTCAGGTTCGAGCTACAACGTGTCCTGCAAGTGGATGCGCGAGAACCGAGCCAGGCGACGGTCTTCAACTGGTCAACACGTTCCAACGGTTGTGATATTTCGAGATGTCAAGGGGGCGAAGAACTTTGAACAAACTGTTCATTACTGTTCTTTTTAAGTGGATCTGAAACACAGGAATCCTTCAGCAGAGATCCTGAATCTTTTGCAAGCCACGTGATTCCTTCAAGACTTATGTGTACTTAACTTATCCTGGTGTAGATAAGACATGATAAAACATTGACAACATCAACAACCAATAGGAAACTGGTCATGTATTCGGATTGGTTCATAGTCTATCTCCAGGATGGTTGTTAGCTGTGCCGGGTTTTGTCGTGCTTTTGGTTATTGAGGTGGTCAGCCTGGAAACCCGTGGAGACCAACTGCTACGAAGGCTTTGGCTTGTTTGATGCTGCGGGCAGCTTAGAGGAGAACTCCTTCGGAAAATCAACTTAAAACTTCAGGGTTTCTACTGTTCAAGGCTTCCAATCAAAACTGCCACCCAACACCCCCCAGGCTCATTCTTTCACACGGCGATGCACTTCTTCCGAACCGGCGCAGGACAGATATGTGGAGAGCCGTGAGGGCCTTTCAGACCTCCTGTGCCGAGCATGTCCACCGGGCAGCAGCTCCGAAAAACTGGAGGAGACGAGTCGGTCGGCTGGAGCCGTGCCGGCGGGGGTCTAAAGCTGGAGACCTTGGTGTCGAAATGAAGAAAAGCGACATGGGCTCGACATGGTCAATTGAGTCGTGCCAGTCCATTAAAGGGGGTTGTTCGGGGTTTAAATGACAGCAATTTTTTGGTTTGGTGTTGCTCAACCCGAGAGGAATCGATGCTTTTCGGTCAACAAGCACACGATTCCTTGAGGAACCATCGCTGGTGTTCCAGAGTGCCGTTTTTTTCCGTTGCCGTTTTTACCGTTTCATGCCTTCGTGGGTGGATCTTTGGCCCGGCGAAGGCTTTGGTTCGATGGATTCCTTTCTCGACGCATGTTCCGACTCGGAAGCGTCGCTGGACACCAGCAGACGCAGCAGACGCAACAAAAAGCACACCTACGTCTACGCGATCCGCGGACGTGATCCGCGCAGATGAAACCAATGCATGACAGTTTGGATACACTTTGTATATTTTTTCCATGAAGGTGATCCATGACGCCCACGGCTCACCTTGGTTCCATGACGTTTCGATGCCCACGGCTCGCCGGTTCGCCGTTCCGCGCCGTTCGGCGCCCGCAGGACAGTCAGGGCACCACCTTCATTTGCCGACGATGTCCTGCAGGTCGATCCCAGGTCCTGAGAGGGGAGAGGTTTGTCCGGTCATCGGTTGTGGTGTTTGGCCAAGGTTCAAGTCATGCATAGTAACTAAGTTTAGATATGTGATGATGGAGGTTGGGATAGTGATCTTCCTGCTACTTCACCAGTATGGGCCTTTGTTTGCTGCTAAGAAGAGTTGTCTATTCTTTTTTGGCAGGTGTCAGGCGCCTCGCTTTCATGCGACCTTTGCCCACTTGGAGAGTACCAAGATGAGACTGGCAGCATTTCATGCAAACGTTGTGGCTTCGGAGAGTATCAGAATGCCACGGGCCAGAGCAGCTGCACTCGGTGCCCCGCAGGTACAACCACACTGGGGATTCTTGGACCCAAAGTCTCGGAGCCGAACGGTCCGTCGATCCGTTCCTCGTTCCGTCGATACCATCGATAACCCCCATCCTGGCCCCATCGATACACCGAGGTTTCGTGCGCAGTCCATCAACGATTGCGGATGCAAAGAAGAGACCATCAACGTTCTTCCTGCAGCCTCCGGCAACATGTGGCTGAATAGTTTTGTGAGCTTTTGGACGTATAGTGAGGTTAGGCAGCTTTTACCGCAATGCTTTTTATTCCGGCATAATTCATCAAGAAATTGCAGAACTTGTAGAATTGGTTGGTTAGATCAAGATCACAGCGAAAAGGGTGAGTCCATTCTTTTTGCAGGACTTCCCTGTTGCAGACGAGGCCCTCCTCAGGAGTAGCTCCATAACTTGCTCCTTTCTCAGGTGTTTGCACAAGCCTTTTTGCACTTAAACATAAAGGAGACTTTAAAAACATAAACAGCCGAAAACATCATCAAAGGACACTGGTGTTCGCGTCAGCCGAATCTCGTCAGCGGCGTTTGTGGCGTTTGTGGCGTTTTCGGTGTTGGTCATTGCAGGTTCAACGTGAGAGAACGTCGGACGTTCGCCGAGGCAACTTCGAGTGCCAGCGATGTGGAGAAGGACTTCGTTGCCCTTTTGGCTCCAGCGTGGAAATGTTGAGGCAAGGCAGTGCTGACCTGGGTGATGACTATCTACCTCAAGTGGTGAAAGGCAGGGCCAGGTGGCAGCGCATCTGCAGTTTTTCAAGAGTTTGCTGTTCAGAAACGTCCGTATTTCTTGTGGCAAACCTGGTTTTCATATGTTTTTCAGGCTGTTGCCTCACATTTCAGTCAAAGATGTGATTGTATATATATATATATAGTTGATCGACAGTTTTTGAACAAAGAAGATAATCCTTCATACCCACACAAAGCGCTGCTTTCAGCTGAACTGCATGTGCCATTTCATGTGGCGCATTCGCCCCCCTTATGACCTTGCCCATTTCGAGGTTACGTGTCACGTTTGGAAGAGCCGTTGCAGATCTTTAAGTGTCGACCCGCCAGCTTCTGTTCGGGTGGAAAGCCAGGAGAGGCGAGTTTACTCACGCCACGGGTCGAGTGGTTTTGGCCGGTTTGAGGCCCAGTGGAGGTCCATCGTTGGAAGGTACGGCCGGTTTCAATAGCCTGCCCAGGAAAAGTTGATGACCTTGAACAGTTTTCTTTGTTTCCCCAAGTAAACATGAACAGATGGAACATTATTACTGGAGCTTCTATTTAATGGCCTTCGGCCAGGTCCGCCGCCCCGCCAAGCGTTTGGATTGTAAGAACAACGCCGTGGTTATGAACATAACAACAACAACCAAAACAAGAAGCAGAAGAAGAAGAAGAAGAAGAAGAACAACAACAACAAGAACAAGAACAACAAGAAGAAGAGCGGGGGAGGGGGGGTGAAGTCAGCGAAACGAAAATCCACGCCAAGGTCAACATTTTTACAAGCTATCTTTACAAGCAACTTTCCACAAGACGCGCCTCGCCTCTGCAAGTGGCAGAGGGTCGGCGGATTCCTCTATTATTTTCCAGGGAAACTGAAGGGGTCAGGTAGGTTTGGGTGTACCTGGGTATCTTGCTATTGATCCAATGTCCTACATGATGCACTGGCCAGTGCTTGATCAAGATCATTTTCCAGTGGCTACAAGTAGCTTCAACAACGGTATGACTTATATGACTATGTTCATGTGAAATCATGAAGATGCCCAGACAGTCCATTTATGGGGCATTTATCTCCGTTAACCCCTCCAACCACCCTGGTCGAAACATCGCATGTTTTTCTCGGTCCGGGCGTCAGTCCCGTGCGGTCTCGGGATGGGTACCGGCCACCGAGAAGGAGAATGTGCTGGGGGGCTCTCCAGCATGCCTTGTGCTTCTTGCGAAGAGGGGAAGACTTGGAGTGGCACCAAGTGTGAGGACTGCGGCGCAAATGTGGTGGCATGGGCACTGGCCATGCCGGTAGCTTCTTTGAGATTTGGAGCATTACACCTGCAATGGCACTAAGGAACAGTTATTAGGTTATCTATAGTCAGTGGTCATGGTCAACTCGCGTGTCCTTTTATTGCTTTAAAGCCTTGAATTTCTTCACTTGCAGTCAATCGCAACAACTCCGGTTGTTTGGCTGGCCAAGGTAGCAGTCGCAGGTCTCATTGGTGCCTACAGTTTTGTGAACTCGGAAGTCATGGCCAGAGCTTCTGCCTTCCAGGCCAATCCTTGTGAATCTCCCATGACAAGAACCAACAGGACGTGACTGTTCGCCGCCTGATTGTTCACGTCTCTGTAGGGGGCCCAACCACAGGCCCATGCAGGCCCCTTGCTAGGGGAGATCCGATTTCAGGGATTTCGCCAACCTTTCATCAGATACTTCTTTTTCTGGGCAGGCTGCATCCAACGCACCTGTCTCACTCATGGCGCGTTTACATGGCTGACTTACGACATGGCGCCCACACCTGGCTCGCTTGCCGGTCGCCTGCCAGGCGTCCTTAATGGCGGCGGGTATCGCTGTGAATGTCTTTCAGAGCTTAGCAATTTTTGGGATGATGACCGTGCAGTGGACGCCCAACTTTGAAAGCCACTCGGGAAAAAGCGGTCAGCGCACGTGTCTTCCTGGGAGGTGCGGAAGTGCAAGCTTCCAGATTTCGGATGATATCCATGGTGCTGGAATATTACTTCCATGGATGGGTCATACATTCAGCAGCACATGTAACTATTCCAGTCCCATTGGTGGTTTGGGATATTTCAGATGATATATGATTTCTATCCTTCGGACGACTCATCGGACAGAACCAAAAAATCAATGACGCTCGTCGCGCGTGACTCGTCGTCAACACGTTGACCTCCGTGGCTCGTTGCGCTCAGAATGCGCGACGAGCCAGCCCGCGTCCGTGGGAGAAGCCTGAGGCACCAGCTCTAGGCTGAGTGTTTTCGTGATGGACATTGAGCTGCTGGGCCTGACGTGCGTGACCGGCCCGGAGAATTTCCTTCGCTTCCTCAGCGCAGCGTCAGCGTTCCCTGCCGCTTCACTGGTGCTGGTGACTTGCTGGGCCTTCACCACAGGTTGGAACACCATCTTCAAGCGTTCGAAGCTTCAGGTCGCTTGGAGGGTGATGACACGCCGCTTCGAGGTCGGAAGCCTTTGCTCCGTTTGGGGACGGGTGGAGACGTTTGGGGACGCTGGTGAGGCTCCAAATACTTCTCACGAGGTACTCGGAGAAGTATGCACTGTTGATGGCAAAATATGATAGTAAAACCACCAATCTGGAGATGTAAAAGCATTTTGAACACATTTTCTTTCAGCAACAGTCAACATTCAGCGTTTGTGTTGGATTTGTTGCAACTTCTGGTGGTACTTTTGGTCATTCCTGGCAATTCGTGGCACTTTGGGGTTGGCAGCCCAAGCCAGTGGCAGAGAAAAAATGGATCAAACACCGTGAGTCTGCCTATCTGCTAGATTGAACCCCCGAACGTCGTGATCTCTGGAGAACTCTGGTGAGGGGTGAGACAGTGGCTTCCTGGCCGTCTCGGCTTCCCGAAGGTCACACCATGGAGATTCTACAAAACGGCCAACACCATGGGCGTGATCCTTCAGGTCTCGCGTGATCAGACAGGGGCGCTTCCTGCTGGCGGTGTGCTGTGGATATTTTGCTAAACTGGCGGAGTCCACATTGACATGTTTTGTATATACTTATACAACAACAAACATACATTTAAACAAAATATATAATATACATATAACTATATGGTACACCATGATACCATATGCATTCATCTATACTTATTAGAGATAGAATTCAACATCACCAAAAACAAGGTCTTCCATGTTCTTCTTCATCTAACCGGTGCTTCGACAGGTTGGCTTCGGCGCCCTGGCGGCGTTGGCCTTACAACCTCTCATGTGCTACCGGCACCCCAACGGCCAATACAGCTTGTTGAAGTACCCGGACACTATTTGCGGAAGCGATGAGCATAAAGCCATGCTGGGTGTAGGAATTGTAGCTTCGCTGAGCAAAATAGGGTTCTTCTTGGTTGATTTGATTTGCATCTGCAGGAATTCTACACTCCGTTCGTAGACTTGACCTGAGGCCCTGCTGATCGTGTATGTGGTGGGTTTCTTCGTTTATTGCTGCTTTGGGGCTTGGAAACTACCTTCCTGGAGCTCGCAAGAGCGCAAAGATTTGGCACCTTGGCGCTTGTGCAGGGTATTTTGAGGCGATATAGTAGGGCAAGTCGGGGGTCTCGGGGGGAAGGCGATGTTCAAAACAACATCTCGCCAATCACAAGTCCCAAAGCCCAGGCACAAAGGCAAACACATATCAACTGGAGACTCATAAGACACAGCGGCGCAACAAGCCAAAACCGATGAGGCACAAAGTGCCATCAAGGCTGATGCCTTCACAGAGTAATTACCACGAAGCCTCCGTTCCGTCCAAGCGAGTACAACTAAGAGCCAAAGACCGGCGTTTTGTGCCAACAAGGCAGTCTCTGCCTTTACACAGTAATTACCAAGAAGTCGTTAGAAGAAACTGCTATAAAAGGAAAACCCGCTTCAGACACATCACTCCAAACATACCCTGGAGACCTCCCCCCAATTTGGGAATGCGAGAAGGCCACGCGACAAGCGGAAGTGGCAACCAAAGGTCGCCCGAACCAAGTCTTACCAGAATATGAGCACAGGTAGAACTGCAAACTCTAAAGAACTTAAAGAACATAACGCACAAAAAGCAAACAACCAACAAGTTGACAAACCGAAGAGAAAACAAAGGAGATCTGAAACTGCCAGAGCGCAAAAACGCCCTGAGACCAGACGTTTGTATAGAATGGTAAGGAAGTGCTGTACTGTTCAGGGGGCCCCAGAGCAGCACTTCTCATGGGGCCCAAGAAGGCCAAAATAGACAGGCACACAGACCAAACCGATGGCAAGCACACCAAGACAGGTTCACTCACCATTGGCACTTTTACTGTAATTGCAAAGGTGCAAATCACATATCAGCATGGGAAAGGATAGTGTACATGATGAAAAAACATAAGATGGATGTCCTATTATTCTTACAGGAAACGCATATCAACACAAACACAGAAGAAGTCCATGACAACTACATTTTCAATTTTTCCACCTCGATCACTGACCAACAACGCGAAGATGGGACAAAAGCTCGAGAGCAAGCACGGCAAAGCAAGGGAAGAGGAAGAAACAATGGCAAGAATGCGCTAGCTCTATACAACCTCGATGCTGAAAAACTGGGAACAGCTGTAGTCTATACCCATGAAGTCAACCAGGTCAAGCTAGATTTAGTCCAACATGACAACAGAAATATCACACTCTCTCTACGTAGCAAGGGAGGCCGGCTAAATATCACAGGAACACATGCCCCTCATGCTGCAAAACCACAGCAAGACAAAGAAAGCTATTACAAATTCCTCCGTAGCATTGCCAGAACATTTGGTAAACACAAGCAACACATAATAATAGTGGGGGGTTTTAATACCAAACTCTTGCGACGCCTTCCAGAAGAAAGTGAGCATATAGGCCCATGGATTTTCAACGAAAACGAGCTAGATATAGGAGACCTACCTGGCCCCCAGCTTGAAAACCGAGACATGTTCACCGAATTCTGCCTAGAAGAAGACTATGTCGTGGCTTCGACGTGGTTCCAAACATCAACTCAAAAGCTTATCACTTTTAGATATCCAACAGCCAAGACTTTTGACCCCCCACTGACTCACACCAAATTCGCACAACTGGATTATATACTGATTAAAAAGCAGTGGCGAAACGCTTTACGCAACATTGATACAACGCCACACACAAGTATTGAATCCGATCACAAGCTGCTAACGGGAATGATCCAAATTAAACTAGCAACGAAAAGCACGCATAGAGCCCCGCAAATCCCAAAATATCGGACCCCCACTTCCGCGCAAAGAGTTCAATACAATGCCTACATTCACTTAAAGCTCAATTCAGAACGCATCACCAATCGACAGGGACCTCTGACACTACTGGCTCAAGTTTTAAAGGAATCGGCAAAGAAGAACCTGACCCAGATACCCCACCCTTTCTCTCAGCCGAAAATATCTAGATGGAACTAAGGTCCCACGAGGCAGTCGTGCAGTATACCTAGGATCGTTATTGACAGATACGGTGAGTAACACAGCAGAAATAGACAACAGAATTGCCATGACCATGACAACTTTCAGACAACTCAAGATCTTCTGGGACAAGGCGAATACCACTACAAATTGGAAACTGCGTGTGTTCAAAGCAATCATGCATTCAAAACTTATGTACAGCCTGGAAGTGATCCAACTCACTCAAAATGATCTAAACAAACTAGATGCTTTTCAGATGAAGGCACTGAGAAGAATTCTCAAAATACCATCCACTTTCATAGATAGAGCGCAAACCGACCAAGTCGTACTGCAAACAGCAAACACGCATGGAGTGTATGTTCAAAAACTCTCAGACTTTTGGAGGCAGAGGAAGATAAGTCTATTAGGCCACATTGTCCGAGCAGATGCAAACGATCCTCTCCGACAGGTCATTTTTGAAAACCAAACTTGCATCCCAAGAAAACCACCATATCGAAGGCAAGGGAGGCCGAGAGTGGACTGGCTAACTGAAACGGTGAAAGACACTTTCCATTGTCTCGGGCACAGCCCGCCCCAAGAGCCAAGCCTCCAAGACATACGAATGCTCCAAAATGCCGCCAGGAACCGAGCATATCCATTTTGAGAAAAACAAGAATCAATCATTCTCTGAAAAGAAGGGCGCTGCCCCATCAGCCTACGGGCTTACACAGTAATTATACTGCAAAGGACAAATGCCTTTCCCCGAGCCTCGTGTCACCTTATACTATGTCAACTTTTTTGAACCCGAACAAGGGAAAGCTTGTTGCGCTGCGCTCCGGCAAACTCCTTCTTGGCGCTAGGAAAAAAAGCACTTTGATTGGATGGCATTCCTATACTTTGCTCAACCCAGCGGCTTCTCCCAGCTGACAACTAAGCACTGACCCAAAAGGACCCACACACTTCTCTCCGATTTTCTTCCAAATGAACATCAATCTTCTGCACCATGTAGCCGACCTCGGCGTTCTCTTCAATTTGGCCTGGCTGTTCGCTTACTCTGTTAAATGGAGTCCTTTTTTGTTGTTCCTTGCTTTTGTTGTTTTAATTTTCTGACAGTCTTTTGCTTTTCGAAAACAGGGGCACGGGAAGAGCGAAAGGTGTGCATGTACCAATGGCATGCAGGACATGAGCGTGGTGCCCCTGGATGACTTTTGTGCACACGGGGCCAGCAACCTGCCACTTTGGGACCATATGGGTGGGTGCAGCAAAATGGGGAGACTTCCCAAAGACTCTCTGGAAGAAGGAACATGGACCAAAACCCACTGGTTGGGGCACCCTATTAAAATGTACGAATATATACCATGTGTTGTTTTTGATGAAACCTTTTCTTGTTTGCACTTCACTTATACTTATACACGGCTTACCTTTTGTTTTTTAAAGTAGTTCGCTGATGTATCGACTGCTCCAGGTGAGAGCCTTCCTCTTCTTGATCTCCAAATTCAGACTTGATGTCTGGTGGTTTGGGCTCCTGTTGCTCCTCGGTCGCAAAAACCGAGGTCTTGTTCAACGTTCCAACTCGTTCCACCTTTGGTGTTCGGGGTTGATCCCTCCAAAATTCCTGAAAGGTGAACATCTTTCGGTGACTTTTCGCCAAAAAGGATGCAGTACTCCCTGCGGTTGGCCTCAAGATCGGAAGCTGAATCCATCCTTGACCGACTGACCCGACCAACTGTCCGTCATCGATAGGTATCCTTGTTCTGAGTCGAACGAAGAGGGATGTTCCCTTCAAACGTTGGGCGGCCACCGCGGTCCGAACCGGCCGAACATCCAGGGCGGTTCGCTCCCAGGGAAGCGAGCCGAAGTCTGTTTGGGGGAAGGGGTTTCCCCACAGCAAAAGCGTTCACCTTTCTTTCCCCCAAAGAAACTCTGGCCAGTGAGTTGCTCCTGTCACTCTGGTTCACACAGGCTGATTCGCGGCTTGGGCTTCAGCTTGGCCATTGTCCTTGCCATGGACTCGCCACAATTGCGGCCTGGCCGGCCAAGGGGGTCGGGGTTGTAGCTCAGACATGACGGGATGGGCAGTGGTTTGGGGCGTGGATCAGATGTGTGGCAGGATGGGTATGTGAGTGGACAAAGTCCAGGCTTTTGTTGAGGTTTCCTCATCAGCATCCACTCTGGGTGTTTTTGGATGGGAACTTGCAACCTGCAACGTTGCTTGGAAGCAGTGCTTCGTCTGTTTCCCGCGTCGATGTTGAAAGGCCATTTTAGGTCCGATACAGGGGGTGCGTTGAACATCTGCACTCTGGAGAAAACTCACCTCTTCCACTCCCAGTCCCATGTCGGTCGGGGAGGGAGTGTATAGCTGGATCACCTCAGGCAGGTTGCTGTCGCCAGCATCATCATGTCCGTCTACCTCTTCTTCCTGACCTTCGCACGACCTTGGAAGGCTCCGCTCATCAATGTAGCGGACATTGCCTTGTGCAACTTGGCCATCCGATGGACACCCCCTGTGACGCTCCACCTGTGACGTAGATGTCAGGATGTAGATGTCGACGTGCAATGTTTGGGAACCCTTTGGTGGGAGGACACCTAAACTGGAAGAGTTTCTGAACATTGATGTTTGTGTTGTCCGATATGTTTTCTGCTCTTGGGTTTAGCCCCTGTTTCTTGTCGGGTGCTTGTTCTCCTCAGGTGTAATCATCATCACCATCACCATCACCATCACCATCATCATCATCATCATCATCATCATCATCATCATCATCACAAGGCAGATCTCCTTTCACTGTCTCTTCTTTAAAAAAGGACATCATCTCATAAGTTTCCCAAGACGTACGTGATCACCAAGGCAATATCCTCATTCTGTTGGTCAATCAAGCGGTTCATCCCAGCAGCGCGGTCGACCTCCAGTTTGTTGATCATTTTTCCGCTGTGATCCTTGGCGGGAGAGAACGGACCGGGACCGCGGCTCCAAGAGGGCGGGACCGTCTCTTCTCGTTCAAAGGCGTACCGTCTCGTCCGTACGCAGGATGCGCATCCTGGTGGAGAAGTTCATGTTGCTCACAGACCTCCGTTAATAAAACAATATAAAACAGTATCTGTCGAAAGTCGACGTTTCTGGTCGACTGGCCCTGGCCAGTACACGACTGTTCGGGCCGATGAATCACCCACTGTTCGGGCGCGTAAAAGTGACTTAACTGACTTTTCCGAGGTGATTTCGGAAGGGAGCGACTCACAGATCATTTCAGAACCCCAAGATACACCACCTGGCAGGTGGCCTTGAGGGATTCATGAGATCACTGGGCTTACACGGGTCATGGCACCCGGGGCTGGCCTGCTTTTTTCTCGTAAGTTGACCTGGTGGTCAACCAAGGTCCCCCGGCCCGGTTTTGACCCACAACCACACTTATAAAGTCACATGTTGTGTCCCTTTGGATGGCTGTTGGTATTGGTCGTGTTCTTCACACCCGAGGATGGTGGTTTTGCTGATTACGATCTTGGTGATGACTGTGATGCTGTGCATCTTGGCACTGGTTCTTGGTCGGCTCTTTGGCAGAGGACTGCAAACAAACTCAAGAAACTGAGCACATAGGACCTCCCGATACCTCCCGCAGCTGCTCCCAGTTGGGTCCTGTATCTGGACGGATCACTCTCCACTGAAACAGCGCGGGGAGTTTGGTCCAAGAAACACATGGAAACAACTGGAAAGGCACATGAAGTCAAAGGAACTTATCTGTTCTATTGAGATTGACATTTACAGTATTTGGAACAATGAAATCAGTTAAACGTCCACAGATCTCCAGAAATATATTGGCGGTCCCGGCTCTTGAGCTGTTGTTTAACGCCCAAAAGGATTATAGGTATGTTCATTTTGTGGGACCGACGACAAGTTATGACCAATCATCCAATGATTCCCCCCTCCCATCCTTTCCAAACTCCAAACTCACATTCTCAGCGATGGTTGGTGAGACTTGCCGCTGGTGAGGAGATTTCTTACTGAATCTGGCTCGAGAGGGAGGTGAACGTGAGAAGATTGCCGCAGCACTGAGACTTGCCGAAGCACTGTGACGGTTCGGCCATCTTCTTGAAGGCAGCTGCTTCCGCTGCCGGCTGTTGCGGCTCAGGTAGACATTCATTGGGCAACTGTCTAAGCCTGTCTTGCAAGCCTGTCTTGCAGTTGTTTTGTCCATTGTCCAAATGTGTGTTGGCCGCCGTCGGAAAGTTTCTGATTTGTTTCGGCTGCCGAGGAAGGAATGTGCCCAAGAACTCTTGGCCGTTGAGGAGAAGGATCTGGCACAGGACCTCTTCAGCCCTTCCTTCACTCCAGTGGTATGACGTTCCTCCCGTTGAGTGAGGGTACTTTTTAGTTGAACACATACAGTTTCGATGCTTTTCAGGCTTCTCCGATCAAATTGGTGCTTCTTTCGATGTTCGCAGGCCTGGCGGATTTCTGCTCCTGCCCTCGGAAATCCGAGTCGAGAGGACCTGGGTTTGATGAACATTTACGACCTGAAAGCCCTCAAAGCGGCCATCTCTGCCGTCTTCGTGGCACCCGGGCCGCGGTTTTTCCGATCGTCGGTTGGCGTCGGTCGAGTCGTGTTGGGGGTAGGCGGGGAGTGGCGCGTGAAGAAACGCCGTGTGGATGTGTTGTTTGTTGCGAACGAAAACACGGAAACGCGGTTTCGGGAAGGATTGGGGCGTGAACATCGGTGATTCCGGGTGATTCCGAGGATGTGCTGGAAATATCCTCAAGTGCGTTGGCACCTCGTGTGGCCCTCTCCTCCACGAGGAATACGAGCTTTGGCTTTTGCGTTGTGTGGAAGTGAACTGGCACTAGAGGAACCAGGACGAGCAGTAAGGGAAAGTGCAAGATGAGTAAGCTGGGTCAGTGAAATTACTGAATTGTTTTGGACGGGGCTTCAGGATTGGTCGACACTTCCCAGCAAGGTGTTCTGAATGATTTTTTGATAATCAAGGTAAGGTCTATTGAAGTTGATCGAGAAGGTGCATGGACTGTCGAGATCTCAATAACATGCATTGGGTCCAACCTCATAATAACATGAATATTTGGATGTAGAAAAGGGACGAACAGGGAGAACGACCTGCATGGTAAAGGAAGCCGCAAAAAGAACCTTTTTGCTTGGAAAGTCTCCTATTCTGTAAGACACACATATATCTCCTCGTCGCAACCAGCAGGCTTGTCATATTGGATCTCTTCTCCAGTTCAGGGTTTTTGGGCAGAGAAGAGCCTCTTCGGTCCAAACTTCTGGACCCGGTGCGACCACCGTCGGTCCCGGCGCGGCTCGCCGCTGAGGATTCGCGCCATCGCAGCCTCCGAGCAGGTCGCCGCCGCGGTCCAGCAGGTTCCGCCCGTTCACCGCGCCTCCGAGGCTGATCCGTCGACCGGATCCGTCGGGGAAGGTGCGACCTGAAGCGATGAGTGAGGTCGGACTGGGAAGATGTGGGAATTGAATGGACTCTTTGAGACAGGACAAGGAGGAATGTGTGGTTTTGCTGAGATTGATGATTTTCCCGTTTTTTCTTTCCCAGAATGGGGAATATGTTTAAAATAGTGTATATAAATATAAATATAGATATATATTATATTTAATATATATTAATATTACTGTAGTTTTCCGGGTTCCTTCAGCAAAGATTAAAGTAAGATTGCCACATCCAACCGCAAGTTGGCTGATTCTGGTCCCGACTCTACGAGGTGTAGCGAAAGTGGTGCCAATATCCACCCCAATCAACGAGCAGAGCTTTTTTGCAGGAGCTTTTTACATATACATTTTATAGACTAGGCATCTCAGATGGTCAGGTCATGCAATTTCGCAGTGTGCGACTGGTGGTACAGGTTTGTGAAGTCCCTCATTAACTATCTCTATAGGTCGCAGTTGCCTTTGCTGGAAGCCTGTGTCTATGCGAGCGCAAAAGGTTTCATTTGATTCTTGGTTTCTTGGTTTCCTATCTTTGGCCGGCCGGCCTTGTCCCGCCTCAACTTGTTGTCGCGCAAAAATAGACCGCCTGGCGGTCACTCTGTATTCTGAATTAGGCTCCAAAGTGGTTTTAAACGAATTCTGAATTCTTCATACGCTTTCAAAAGGTATAGGATTCTAAAGGAACTTGCAGCAAGTTGGCTTTTCTGAACACCTTGGATCTGGCAGGTGGAGGTGACAGCGCCAGATGCAGCCACACCTCCCGCTGATGCAGAGACGGAGGTCTGGATGAAAAGGGGTATGCCAAGAAAGATTGCCTGAGCAGTTACAAGAGATCAGGGTCGGAGATTCATTGTTTGTTGACGGAGGCAACCCCAGGGCGCTCTTTGGCCAACATCTCGGGGCTGCACAGGTATATTTTCGAGGGTTGGAGCATCTGTGGAAAAGGCTTATCTCTCTATACCCAACCCCTGAGCAGATGCGGCAAGCAGATGCGGCTGGTAGCTGGTTAGGACGGAGGGCATGAATTCCGAGCCACGAGATGACCTCCAGCCTTCGGCAGCCGATCGATGGCGGTGTTCGGCGGTTGGAGGAGGTTTTTGGCATGTCCGATCGACGTCCCAAGGGTGTGTGAGTGCTGTTCTGGCCAATCGTCTGGAAGAAACTCCGACCCTATAACGTACCCCCTAAATGCTGTGGTTAGTTCGCAGTTTGCCAGCTTCCTAAAACTTCTAAAATACTACTATTTGAATGAATATCTTTGAGTCAAGTGCCTGGGACAACCATCGGCCCATGGCAGGAGCTGGACACGGAGGTCCAGTTCATTGTTGCAGACCCGGAGCAGCCTGAGTCCATCGTGGCCACAAACCTGTAGATCTGCGCGTCTCATGAAAATCCTGAGCTGGAGCCACCTCGGTGTGTATTAAAAGAGGGAGACCTAAGAGACCCACCAGGCGTTCCGACCCAAGGGACATAGACTGAGACATACTTAGACCACCACATATCAGTCTACCCAGCCAGGGCCAGGGCGGCCAGGAGGGGGTCTCCTCGTCCGATCCGGTCCTGGTCCGGCTGTCGCCCGTGGCTGTTGCCCGTGAGAACGCTCGGAACAGCCCAGAGGTGAAGTGATTAGAAACAGGAGCCTACTGGGGCACCCTATGCGAGAGTCTAGAATAGGTGCTTCAACCTCTGTTGCGTCCTTTTTGAGCGCCTATCTTTGATCAAGCTTTGTACCCCTTGGCCTGGATGTACCTGGCTTTGCCTTTGCCGCAACATGGGTGAATGGAACACGAAGGGAGGAGTCCTGGAACTGTTCGGATGATGCTGGCTGCTTTGCGGTCACTGGGCGCGCCAACCGTCTGCTGCTCCAAACGGAGCAGCAGACTGCCCTGTCCGAAGAAAGCGCGCGACCTGCTGGTCAGGACCTGCAGAGTATGTGGCCGAACTGGCTTATCCAGGGTATGTCTGGCTTGTGCCAGTCTGGTCCAGGTCGTTTTGGGGTTCTAATCATTTGAGTTTCCAGATGCATCACACTGACGAGCCTCTTCCTAAAGAACCCCCCCCCCACGACCACACTGGTTGAAACTTTGTCGGGACCCCAACTGTGGCCGAATCTCAAGAGCAAAGGGATTCATCATCTCATACACCAGGAGATTAACATATAGTCAAATCTGAATTAGAAAGATTAATCCAGGTAAGGGATTATCAGTGAGATTAATCTCACAGGGAAGGGATGAATCTCATAGTCATCATTTACTAGCGCGCGGGGCGATGAGCGACGGAGGTTCTTCCATTTTGGCCGAAGGGCGAGTTTGGGGCTGTGATCCCGCAGTAGTGTATTGGTGAGCAAAAGGGGCTGCCTATCAGACAGCCTCACTTTAATATTTTTGCTCACCAGGATACAAAAAGACATCCAGCAGTAGTATAATATATATATATATACAACCTGACAAATCTTCTACAAACGGCAGCATATTTGTGAGGCAGATCGACCCTGACCCTTCAAGTTCAGCGTTCCAGCCTTCTCTAGAGAACTCTGCATGCCGCATGGTTTATTTGTTTTGAATTGTTTTGAGCAATTTGGTGGCCCTGACGGAACTTGGCACAGGATGAAGATTATACCGACCCAGTTGGTGGGTTACCGCTCTTCTTGTTGGGGATTGGTGTTCCTTACGACATACGTAAGTGCTGGTATCAAACAAGTGGAGAGAGACCCATTCTCGATGTCCCCAAAAAGCAAGGGATCAACACGAAACCATCATGACTCATTCGGGTGCCGCCTTTGCTGATGCGTGCTTTCTTTTGAATCCATGCCCGAAGGGCAGAGAGAACTGTTTGCACTGCGTGGCGGTGATTTAAGTTGGGCGTCAAGCAAGCCGCGTTTGGCGTGGAACTTCAACTTATAAACTTGCTTTACATTATCACGCATGAGCTGGATGCTGGGAGCCTTTTCTGATTCCTATTTGCACTTGGTCCATAGTCCATAGTGATTTGGGTGGGAGTCCAGCGCCATTTGGAGATGCATTCAGATCACAGGAGGATGGGGCAACGGTGCCCGCCCTGCCTGGGACCTTGTTGCCTGGCGAAAAGCCACGCAGGATGCATGGAACCACCTGCAGCTATGGCAGCATGATATGATGGGTTTCAATCATGTGACATTTGCACAAAACACACTTGCGGCATCTTGGAGCTTTAAATAATCCCGGCAAGAGACCCCAAACAGTGTGAGAGGTCTATAAGCAGAAAGTCTAGAGATCTAGACGCATTGGGGTCCAGAGAGGTGATGGTGGTGATGAAGGTGGGGATCGTGGAGACGGTGGCGGTGGTGGTGAGTGAGTGTGAGTGTGCGTGAGAGTGAGAGGGAGAGGGAGAGTGAGAGTGAGGGTGTGGGAGTGAGTGAGAGTGAGAGTGGGAGAGTGAGTGAGTGTGAGTGTGAGTGAGAGTGAGAGTGAGAGTGAGAGTGAGAGGGAGAGGGAGAGTGAGAGTGAGAGTGGGAGAGTGAGTGAGAGTGAGAGTGAGAGTGGCTGTGAGTGAGAGTGAGTGTGGATGAGAGTGAGGGTGAGTGAGAGTGAGTGAGTGCGAGTGTGAGTGAGAGTGAGTGTGAGTGTGAATGTGAGTGTGAGTGTGAGCGTGTGTGAGTGAGTGAGAGTGAGGGTGAGACTGAGAGTGAGAGAGTGAGAGAGTGAGCATCTGGGAGCACAAAGTGCTGCGCCTGCGCCGAAATCTGCACTTCCAGGTTCACCAAGTGCTGCGCCTGCCACGAAATCTGCACTTCGAGGTTCACCATGTGCTGTGCCTGCTGCGAAATCTGCAACACAAAGTGCTGTGCCCGCCACGAAATCTGCACTTCGAGGTTCACCAAGTGCTGTGCCTGCCACGAAATCTGCACTTCGAGGCTCACCAAGTCACAATTCAATGCAGACGATCACCACCATGTCCAAAGTGCCACGAAAACTGCATTCCGAAGTAAAACACGAGGTTCCCCTTGCGCCTGCCACGAAAAGCGCCACAACGAGAGCGCAGTCGCTAGAAGCACCCGCCGCCGGCAGGCAGATTTTGTGAGCCTTCGCTTCGAGGAGAGGCATGTACTGTAAATCTGTAATAGTAGCGAATTGCAGTAGCCGGACACGCCCGAGCGGCACAGCGATCTAAGCACAGCTGCTTTTCCACCACCGTAAGAACCCCTTAAAGCCTTAGTGTGTCCACACTGTTTGGGGAAAAACCCGCCCTGTTTTGCTCAGAAGTTGCTCCTGTAGTTGCTCCCAGGAAACCCCAGAATGCCATGGCTCGGAGCGGTTGAGCACGCGGTCCGGTTGAGCCCGAAAAAGAGCCGCTTCCCAGGGGGGCTGGAGAACCGGGGAGAGTTCGGCCCCATCAAAACCCGGATGAAAACAGATCTTAAGCGCCCTCTGTTCGCCGGACAGTCGCTGAGTTCAGAGGTTTTGGATGGTGAACTTGGATGCATCTCAGCGAGCAGTGTGTCTCCAAACTCTGTGTTCCGTTCAGCTTCGATCAACAGCTTGAAATCCAGATTCAAACCTCAGCCGTTCGAGCAAGGCAGGTGAAATCATAAAAGCTCAGAGGGAACCAACTGAGTTGGTTCTGGCTTAGCCAAGAAAGATAGAGGTCTGGGGTCAACGCAGTCAACCTCCATCAACCAAGCCCTTTCCGATGTGAACTAAACATGGACCAATCTGGAGTAGACCCACCAGGAGCTCCGTTCAACGAGCCACGCCTCAGATGTAGTGTTTGGTGCAGGAAACCACTGTATATATGTGGCTGTGGGTCCAAACCTGGAGCCCCGCCGGAGCCCGGTCAGGTCTCCAGGTTTGGACCGGGCTCGAAACGGATACCTTTGGCGAGCTTGGCCATTTGTGAGGATGGGGCTGCAAACCACCGGATTGACAGGGGAGAGACGAAAGATCAATGGGTGCAGGTCCATATCTTGGGGTAGGTCAGGTCCTCCCAAAAAACAATCAGATTCAGATCCTGGATGTATTTTGGCATTTGGCTAGCAGCTTCTAACCATCCAAAGATACGAACATACTTGAAGTTCGGCCACCACCGGTGTTCACGTCAAGGCTTGGGGACCTGCCTTTACCCACCGCGACGTGGAAGAGACGCGGAGACCATCCATGTTGGGTTTATTTTTTCCGACCGAAGGCATGAGCCTTGCTGGACATTCCACAAGGCAAGTTGACTCATGTCAGGCATCCGTATCAGTATATATACTCAATGTGTCGTGGTCAACCATGAAGCCTGTTGTGCGACCTCGGGCAGTATCCGGACCTTTTGGGTGAGTGAGCAAGAGAATAGATGGAATTTGCATAGATCATGTTTCGCTGATTTGTTGTGGTTCAGTTCCAAAATTCTTGGTTTTGCTTGTATGGTGATGCGTATTTTCCCACCCAAAAATATATTTGTTCCCCGTGCCTTCAGCACAGGTGTCGAGGTTCCGTGTCCACGATGGACAGGGACCGTCCGACCCTCCGTCGAAAAAGGGGGCCGTCAGTGGTTTGGCCCAGCCGAGTTCGGTGGGTTTGGAGCCCAGTGGTTCCAAACTCTTTGGAGCTCCGTTGGCCTGCTATCCATCCTTTTTCTCCACCGGTTGACCGTTTCGGCCAAAAAGACCTGTGACATCTTGTGACCGATTTTGTGAGTTTCGTGCGGTTGTGACTGTATACATTTTAGTAATTCTACCGAGGGCCTCTGGTTTGGGGTGGTGATTTGACACCCCTTAACCTCCTTCCAGGGCAGACGCCTAGACACAGGCGTCCTGGTAATTCAGATTTGGGTAATTCAGATTTGGGGGCTCCCGATTCGGACGAATCCTGGGGAGAGGTTCACACCGTTCGCGCCGAAGGCTTTGGCTCTATCAGGTGTTTGTTCTCCGGTCTCCGACTGCCCACAGCTTCGAACTGGTCGTACCAAGGGGGGGCGACTCAAGAAGGTATATGCCATATGGGTATGAGTCACTCAAGCAGGCGTAAGGCGTAACCAGGCGCCAAGCTCGCTTCATCCTATCCACCTCTCGCAGCTTGTACCTTTGTCAGAACTCTTAGCTCAATTCAATTCCCCAAGACTGTTTTGGGCGATCCTCATATCAACCACGGGAAGACTCAGCCGTTCATCCAACCGGGGGTTGGACTTCCAGTCCGTCCGACGTCGCCCTGAGAATTCGAGAACTGCACGGATGCCATGGTCGTGCCTAGCCTATAGGAGCCCGCCCGGGGCCTCAAGACGAGCGAGACATGAACGGACGAGCAGCGAGTAGTGAGCGAGTTGAAATTTCAACACCTGGTAGTGGGTAGTGAGGGATTGGAACCTAGACATTGTGATTTGAATCTCATGTGATCTCGTATTTAGCTAGAACCCAGTTGACCACACTACAAAATGTGATCATTTCATAAACCTTGGAGCCGGTCACGTCTCACAAGTGCCACTTAGCGCCGCGCCGCGAGAAACCTCAAAAAAAAACAGACGCACCCCAGAACACCCCAAGAAGAAACCGACGGGGGGGCAACAACCACACACCGACCTAAAGCGTCGAGCCGCCGCGCCCCCAAAAGGATTCACCAAGGGCCAAAAACCAAGTGCGGACCCGATATGGAGGAAAAAACGGAAAGGTTGAACCAGCAAAATGACTCCTGACTCCCATCTCTTCAAGCAATGCGTGAAGAGCTTTTTGAGCCCCCAAGAATCAGCATGGACATTTGCCGGTGGCACACAGATCTTCATCTGGGTCCAAAAGCCCTTCACCTCATTGTTTGCAGGCCCCAACCGGTTGTAGGTGCAAAGTTGAGCTACTTAAAACATGCCCTACTAACTGAGAAAAGGTTTTGTTTCCAAAGCCCCACCTCAGACCTCGAGAGATCTCCGTCCCAGTCCACCATGTAGCCACCAACTCCATTACCCGGATGTTAACGAGGATGGCCTTGACTGATGGAATCCCAACAGTTTGCTCTGACGGTCACTTCAGGATCAGGTT